AAAAAAAATGTTTGAATTACAGGAATGCAGGAAAAAAGAAAACAATAAAAAAACAGTAAACAAAAAATAAAAGAGCCAGCTTAAGCTCTAAAACATCAATGATTACATTAAATGCAAATGGCCTAGATATACAATTAAAGACAGAGATTGACAGAGTGGATAAAAGACATGACCCAATTATATGCTTTTTACAAGCAATTCACTTCAAATATAACAATATAGGTAGGTTCAAAGTAAACAAATGGGAAAAATATACCATGCAAACATTAATCAAAAGGAGTGAGTTATATTAATATCAGATAAAGCAGACTTCAGAGCAAAGAATATTTCTATGGAATGAGAAGAACATTATATAATAATAAAAGAATTAATCTATCTAGAAGACATCTAACTAAATGCATATGTACCAAACAACAGAGATGCAAAATATGTGAAGCAAAACTAATGAAGTGAAAGGAGTAATAGACAAATTCACATTTACAGTTGATGACTTCTCAACAATTGATAGAACCACTAGAGAGAAAATCAGCAAAGATACAGAAGATCTCAACCATACTATCAACCCAGTATGTAATCAATATTTACAGAATACTCTGTCAACAACAGAATTCCTTTCAAGCATTCACAGAACGTATAGCAAGATAGACCATATCCTAGACCATAAAACAAACCTTAATAAATGAATAAAAAAATTCATATAGAGTGTGTTCTGTGGCCCCAATGCAATTAAACTAGAAATTTATAATAGAAAGATAAAGAAAATCTCCAAACATTTAAAAACCAAGCAACACACTTTTAAATAATCCCTGGGTCAAAAAGAAAGTCTCAAGGGAAATCTAAAAAATACACTAAACTGAATGAAAACACAGAAGAAAATCCTCAGGACCTGGGGAAGAGTTCTGAGATATGACACCAAAAGTGCAATCCATAAAAGAAAAATCAGTAAATTGGGTTTCGTCAAAATTAAAATTTTTGTTTTGCAAAAGCCCATGTGAAGAAGATGAAAAGCTAGAGACTTGGAGAAAATATTTATACCACATGTCTCATAATGTAGAATTTATAAAGAACTCTCAAAGCCCAACAGTAAAAACTAACAAAAAGAAACAAAACAAACAAAAAAAAACGAATCCAGTTAGAAAATGCACAACGTACATGAAGAGACATTTCACCAAAGAGGATATACAGACAGCAAATAAGCACATGTAAACATGTTCAGCATCATAGCTATTAAGGAAAATGCAACTTAAGATCACAATGAGATAATACTACATATCTATCAGAACAGCTAAAATGTTTAAAAGTGACAATACCAAATGCTGGCAAGCACGCAGAAACTAGATCTCTCCTATATTACTGGGCATTTATCCCTAAGAAATGAACATTTATGTCCACACAAAATCCTTTGTACAATTGTTCTTAACAGATGTGTAACAGCCCCAATCTAGAAACAACCAAAATGTCCTACAAACAGTGAATGATTAAACAAAACATAGTATATTCATACCATGTAATACTACTCAGCACTAAAAAGGAATGACCTACTGAAACACAGAACAACTTGGATGGATCTCAACAGCAATGGGTTGAGTGAAAAAAATCCAATCTCAGAAGGTTATATATATATATATCCTTTTATGTAACATTATCAAAAATGACAAAATTATAGAGATGGAGAACTGATTAGTGGTTCCCAAGGGTTAGGGATGGTGAGGAGAAGGGGAACGGGTGTGACTATAAAGGGACAGCAAGAGGAAAATCATTGTGGTGATGGAATGATTAATTCTGTACTTTGATTGTTTTGGTGGTTGCAGAAATCTGTATGTGATAAAATGACAGGACTATATGCACTTTATATCAGTGTTAATTTCCTGGATTTGATGCTATATTATATCTGTATAAGATGTAATCAAAGGGGGAAACTAGGTGATAGGTATATGGGATCTCTCTGTACTATTTTTGCAAATTCCTGTGACTATAATTATTTTAAAATAAAAGGTGAAAGTAAAGTTATCCACTTAAGGTCTTTATATCACATACTTAAATTATGCTCATACTTCTTATGTTCAAATGTCATTTGTAAATATCTCTACTAGTAGAATAATCTTTTCTGCAATTAAGTGTAGTTCTGATGATTTATGCCTGAATGTTGAAGGGTATGTTTTATAGTGAGCAGCTCTATAACTACATGACATTTCCAAACTGGGAGGTGATATCATCTCAGGATTCATTTTTTAAAAACCCAGGAAGGCTGTGAAATAAATCTGGAAAATCATGCCACAACTATAGAAAAAACATTACCAATTACACAAGGACAAAAGCAACTTCGGACACTAGTGTGTCTTCCAGGTCTTACCAGCTGCTTCCAGGGGCCAGTGGACCTTGTAACCTGGCACCACGCCTGCCACATACTAGAAAGCCGTGAATAAAAACTGCTAAGCAAATGAATGAATGACCTACAGGGCTGTCTTAGTTTTGCTCACTAAAACCAGAAAAACGTGGGTTTGCAAATCTTGCCATATTCTGATCTATATGTTGAACATTTTTTCACAACGTACTTCTACTTGGAGAGAAAAAGAGAAAGAAGTTTACATAGATGAAATTTCTTAAAAGTAGAAACTGAAGTAGTAGTCAAATACACAGCACCCAAGGCACTACTAGGTTTGACAAAAATATTTTAATCTGCCTCCCCCATTCCTAAATCCTCTTCTCAGCTCTGTTTATAAACGGCTCACATCATCGATTATCCCTATTAGATCAGCAAAGGCTTTGTGCCTAGCTGGAGGCTACGCTTGTTCCCATTGGTTGTTTTCTTTGCCCTTTTCCTTAACCCTCTTCCAAATCCCTACCACAAGCACTCCTCCTCCTCCTTCCAAAAGAGAGCAAGAGAGAAACACAGCATTAAATGACCAGGCCCTGAAAAATAGTAATTTAAACAAGCAAAACAAGTTGCATTTGGCACACAAATATTCAAACACGAGTCTTCACCATAAGGCATATTGCCCACTCCTCAAATACACAATACAGAAGACAAAATTGAGTTATGTCACCCTTATTGAATACACCTTCAGTCACAGGACTTAAGAATGGATACTTAATTTGTAGATCATGTAGGCTCTGTTCCTCCTTGCTTGGGGATGGGGTACGGAGGAGGGTAGAAGTCAACACTGTCATTTGTTAAGAGCTAAGAAGGTAGGGGACTGAACTTGATAGCAACTATTATTCTATGTCAGGCACTGTGCTAAGAACTTTGACACTGATAATGTTATTTAATGCTCCTAACGATGAGATGGGCATAATCTACACTGGGAAGGTGGGAAAATTGCAGCAAGTGGTAGAGCCAGGATTAAAACCCCGAACATCATTACTGGAAATATGTGAAAGCCTATGATCTTTCCATTACACTCTTGCTTCTCTAAACCCAATCTCTGGGATTACAGGTACTCGATTTCTCTACATAAATTCCTTCTCCTAGGGCACTGATGCTCAAAACTAATCAGAGATCTGTCAACAGGAGCCTAGGCCTAAGGTTACAACTGCTGCTTACTCACTGTATTACTTTGAATAAGTCTGCTTTGCTCTCTGACCATCAGTCACTTTTCGGAATGCAGTTGATCTCTGAGGATCCTTCTGAGAATATAGAACTTTGGGACCCCAAAATGTCCTGTGTTTTAAACACAAACACTTAGAGCTCTGACAATATTATTTAAAATGTATTTTCCAGAGCCAAAGTTATTAGGTCAATTTAATTCTATTTAACAATATTATATCGCTTTCAATTATTTACATTTTCATTTCACTATTGTCTTTATCAGGATTAATTCCTTTCCCTGTTAAATTCAACGACCATGTACTCTATAGGCAACGGTCTGAGCTTTTTTTTTTTTCTCTGACCACGTCACAAATGTCACCACTGGTAATATTCTTTTGTGGCTTTGATTTCTACAATCCTAATTTTTGCCGGAGTGCTTGATCCTTCTGGCTGTGGCGGTCTAGATGTAAGCCTACAATGGACACAAATGGACACCACGTCCTATGCCTGACGTTCAGAAAAGCTGGTCCGGTGCATCCAATATGTGGTAAACCAAATCTTATAATATCGGCACGCTAAGGGAAGTTTGCTATTAAAATTAAACAATACTCTGACGTGAGCTTCGTGGATAATTAAGAAAACAATCGCTCGCTCGCTCCCTTTTATACACAGCCCGACTCCTCCCACTGGGAGCAGCGCTCTACGCACATCTGTCAGCGAAGGGTTCTGTCCTGCAGGCGCGCGCTTTGGGTCGTCCCAAAAGTCTCGAGAGCAGCCGGCGACAGAAAGGAGGACAGATGAAGCCCCGCGGAGCCCGGTGGTTCTAGGCTGGGCCTGAGGGAGGGGCGGGCCCGGGGTCGCCTCCACCTCCAGGCCCGCCCTGCGCCACACCCGACCCCGCTTGCTCTCGGCTAACGGGCCGCAACGCCTGCCTTCACTCGCCATCCCTCACCTCGCCCAGACGGCGGCCTCCCAGAGTCAGCGGCCTCCCTCCGCGCCACCCGCCGCCTCCTCCGCAACCTTAGCCCACCGGGCGGACCCGGACCAAGTCGCTGGCGGCCCAGGCGCAGGTAGGCGTCGGTGCGCATGCGCGAGCTTTGAGCCCCCATTCGCTGCTGCTAAGCGACACCCTCACCCAAACCGACCAATCCTTGCGCGCCTCCACCGCCTGTCCCAGCGGAGTCGTGAATGAAGTAGTTCTTAAAGGGCAGCGACCCAAAGGCAGAGGGGGCGTGGCTGGGGCGCGCGCCTCCCAACTTTCTTCCCATCTCAGGGCGCTCACCTACATGGGTTTAGGTACAAGCCTGTAGTTCTCACGTCTGGAGATGCGCGGTGTCACTTCGATTCCTGCGGGGGTAGCGAACCGGACTGACGTGCGGAGGCAAGGAGTTTCAGTGTAATGGAGCAACACGCCCAGGGCGTGGGTTTCCTTGTCAACGGGGGTAGGCGGGAGGCACGAGATAGGCAAACCAAAGAGCACAGCCTCCTGCCAGCCTGGATCAGGTGCCAAAGTCTAAGGACACACCCCATTCTGGGATCGGAGGCATTCACAGGGTCAAGGGAGATTGGGAAGCAGTGTTCGTCCATTTATTCATTCAACAAATTTTGAGCACCTGCTATATGCCAGGTACTCTGCCAGGCACTGGGGGCATAACGAGAAACTCCTGACACTAAACACTGTGTTAAAGAGGGGAGGGCAGAGTGAGAGCATCCATCAAACGTTTACACAACACAAGTTTAAATACAAACTGAGATAAGTGCCCTTCATAGAGGAGATAATTTACAGGAGCTTCTGGCCTGGACCTTGGGGGTCCAGGAAGGCTTCCCCAAGAACATGACACTGGCTGAGTAGTAACTAACTAGGCAAAGGGGAGAAGAAGAGTGTTTCAACAGAGGGAACAATATGTATAAAGGACTCTGTGTGGAAGGCAGCAGGGCTCCTTTGAAGGATGAAAAGAAATGGAGGGAGATGTTAGTATTTAATAGGCACAGAATTTCAGTTGGGGAAGATGAAAAAGTTCTACAAATGGATGGTGGTGATGGCTGCACAACAATGTAAATGTACTAAATGTCACAGAACTGTACATTTCAAAATGGTGAATTTTGTTACATATATTTTGCCACAAAAAAAAAAAGAAATGAAACTCAGAGTTTAGAGGGTAAAGGAGCAAAGAGAGAGCCATTAGAAAGAATAGAAGAGGTAAGACCAAATAGGATCTTGTAGGCCATGGTAGAAAGTTTAGGACAGTGGAACACTGATCAAATTTGCATTTTGTTAAAATCATTTTGGCTTCTGAAGTTTAGATAAAAATGGAGAAGGCTCATGGTCAGACCAGGTGGGAAGCCAATGCAGTCATCTGGGCAAGATAGGATGAAGCTGGAGCTTGGACCAGAACAATGGTGAAGAAGAAGAGAACTGGGAAGTCTGCAGAGAAATGTAGGAGCAAAATCAACAGGACTTGGTGACGAATTGGATGTGAAAGGTGGACAAAGTAACTTCAAGGATGATGTCACCGTTTAGCTTTGAGTGAACGGATGGATGGTGGAGGGATTCATAGATATGGAGAACACTGGAAGATCTGATTTTGGAGAGAAGATTGGTCAGTGATTCCATCAAGACAAGTTGAATTTGAGGCACCTTTGAGAATTCTGGTTGGGATGTCAGTCAATGTAGGCAGTTGAATATACAGGTTGCAATTCAGCATAAAGGTCTGGGCTGGACATAGCCTTTTGAAAGTCATCACCACATGGGTGGAAATTGAAACAGAGAAAAATTACTTAAAAACAAAAAACCAGAAGAGAGATATGAGACAGTCCAAGATAACCTCCAGGGGTCCCTGCCTTCTGGTATTCATGCCCTCCCACAATGAGTCAGGATGACCCATTGCGACAAGTGATCACGAAGCTAGGTCATAAAAGACACCAAGGAAGAAAAACAGGAGATTTGGTTGGTAAAGGAAATTGAAAACCATTCAGTGTATGTGCCAAGAAAGAGATGAGGATTCCCCCTCAAAATGCATCACACAGGTGAATGAAGACCTGTGCTTCCCACTTATAGGTCAAGAAGTACAAGGCTCTGGCCTAGATGGGGAGGGAATTGGTGCTGGGCCCACAAAAACCCTGAGTTTTCAAATGTGGACCTTGGTGAGTACTAAGTGAGTACTTTAGGATAGGGCCTTGTACCCTCTGACTGCTGTAGTTGGTGTGGCTCAGGCACCACAATGTATTGAGCATTTTGACTCCAGGCTCCAGAGGCTTTTCTTCTAAGCCTTTTCATCCCTTCACTTCCAGGGTCAACCCCTAAACCCCTACATCACCACAGAAGAGGTCCACCTCTGAAGTTGTCCATGCAGGCACCTGATATTTGACCTGTCCTTCAGCTGTTCTCTGAACTCCTCCCACTGTTCTCCAGCTTGCAGAAGCCTCCAGGCCACTGGTCTTACTTTGTTATATTTATTACCTCCCTCCAGGCTTCATTTCCTTCCCCATCAGTTGAAAGTCCAGGGTCCACCACTTCCATCACATTCTTCCCAATATACGTACCTCCACTGTGCAGTTATCCTTCTGTCACACCTGCCTGCAAGCACTCCAACCCTGGAAAAATCCAACCTTCTGCCTTCTCTGAATCTGCTCCTGGGATGTAAGCACTGCTGAACACAATCTCACAACCACACAGGGCAGTGCCATGTTTTTACAGTGCCGATCTCAACCAGGTCAGCAACACTAGGCAGCACTCCCGTGTTAGCCAGGTTGGCTCTCTCTCCAGCTCTCCCCAACACCAACTTCAAAACCTCCTTCAGGCTCCCCAGATCCCCTATTTTTCAACCCCACTTGTTCTCCCAGGTTCCTCCTTTACTGAGGAAAGAGCAACCATTAAAGGGATGCCCCTCAGCTGCCACCCACTTCTGTCCCTCCAGCTACCACCTTTTTTTCCTTTTCCCCTTTACAGCCGAACGTCTTGGGGAAAGTGGCCTGTGTATGAAGACTCCATTGTTTCACCTTTCCCTTAACTTCTCAGTCCTCTGCAATTCTGACTTCTGCCTCACCAGATAACCGAAATTTCCCTCATTAAGACCTAGTTTCTATCTTGCTTGACCTTTCAACAGCATTTGTCATTGCTGTCCTATTTTGCACTCTCGTGGATTTCCTCTTCTATCTCTAGTCTTCTAACCTTCCCTCTCCTTTGCAGCTTCTTTTCTTCTGCCATGAAAAAAACAACCCAACACATTCTCCTTGGGCAGTCTCATCCAGTGCATGGTTCCAGTCAGTTCCCACAAGTGATACTTCTCAAAGCTTATATTGCCAGTCCAGTCCTTGGCCCTGAGTTCCAAACCTGAATAGCCAGCCACAGACTTCAACATCTCTATTTGACATCACCTCCAACTATATATATCCACAGCTGAATCTATCATTCTCACTTCCAGTCCACCTTCTCCTCCACTCTTGCCCACCTCCATGAATGGCATCACCAGTCTCTCAGTTGCCCAAGCCAGAACCCAGAAGCCATCCCTAATTCCTCCTTCTCCACGCGCTCCCCCCCCACACACACACATTAAGTCACCAAGTCCTGTCAAGTCTACACCTAATATCTTTCAAATGAAAACACTTCTTATTTCATTGCTCCCCCATTTCTGGCCTGCACACCTGCAGCAGCCTTCTCACTCTTCTTTTTGCTTCTCGCCTGGCTGCCTTACCTGCCTTTCACCTTTACCAGGAAAACTCTAAAATGCATCTCTGACTTCATCACTCCTCTGCCTAAAACCATCCATGGCTCCCATGGCTCCTAGGAGAGAGTACAGACTCTAGACACCTGTCACCTGTGTATCCGCCACTTCTTCTTCATACTGAGACAACTATTCTCCTGGAGGGCTTTCTCTGTATGCTGGACCCGGTTGGTCTCCTGCGCCTGCCCTACCTTAACACCATCTCATGTTATTATCATTCCTCATTTGTCAAACAGAAACGGGGCTGAGTAGGACTAATCAAAGCCTGCACCCGGCCCCTAACGGTTCCTCCTCTGCCCACTCTGTTTTCTGTAGAACCACTGGGGACTTTTCCTAGGGGGGGAGCCTGGTTTGGGGATAACAATACAGGCTTGAAGACCAGGAAGCCCTGAATCGTGGCCCACCTCAGGCATGTTGCCCCACTTCGCTCACTGAGTTTACCCCTGTGGAATGGGATGAAAACTGCCTCCTTACAGGGTTGAATAAAAAAAGGATTGTGAAGGGAAAGCCCAGCAGAAGCAGATGAGCCTGCTCTGGATCTGGGCCACCCCTCAGGGAAATGAAACTGTAGGAGGCAAAATTGCACCCAGACCCCTAAGTGATGTAGCTGCTGTCCACTCCGTGCTGCAGGGAAAAGCAAACTTGCACCTATATCCACCATCTGTGGGCTGGTCAAGTGAGAAGACAACCACTTCAAAGCTTTAGTGGTTGCCAACAGCAACTATTGTGGCCCAGGAGGGTAGGCCCAGCCTTCTCCTGGTATCTTGCAGCAAACCATATCTGCAGTATGGTGCATAGGCAGTATGGGATACTGGCTAAGAGTGAGGAAAACAAATGTTTTCTCATTTGTAAAATGGAGAAAATACTAGTGCTTTCCAGGATTGTAAACCTAATAAGCATTACTGTTGCCCAAAGGAAAAATAGGCATATATGTGAGTTTCTTCCTCAGCAAAGAGTAAAGCTCATACAAGTATTTTTCTTGGACCTACAGGGTTTGGCTTGGCAGGAGGCAATGCCCAGGGTTCACGCTCCAGATTCGCAAGCCTGGAGGCACAAGAGTGATGTCTAAAGACGCCAGATATCTGAGGGCCAGCCACGATTCTCATGTGAGCCCGACACGGTGCTCCAGCTAGTAGACTGTAAACAGTGCCTAAAAAACAGGCGAGGAGCGGCTGCCGGGCCCCGCCCCCAGGTTAGCTTTCCAGACTGCGCAAACGCAAAGGATCCGCCAACAGCTCAAGAGGCGGGGCCTGAGAGGGACGCTGAGCGTCGCTCCTGCGCGCCCAATGACAAACGACGTTGCGCCTGTTCTGCTGCGGTCGTAGGTTGTGTGGAGCTGATGTGGTTAAAACCGACTGTGGTGTACGTACGCGGGGTCTGCCTGGGTGCCAACCTGGCTTCCCGGAATGTCGGTGGCTTTCGTACCGGACTGGCTGAGAGGCAAGGCTCAAGTCAATCAGGAGACGATCCAGCAGGTGAGCGCTAACGCGGGCAGAGAAAACGGGTTTCTTACTTGAGAGCCGGAAGGCTGAGGGTTGCGGGCAGCTTCCTGGAGTGAGCTGCATCCCATCAGAGACTTGTGTCAATACTAGGGTATTGACTTTTAGGGGTACGAGTGAGATGGGAACAAATTCAGCAAAGGCGCCGGGGCAGGACAGCCTGGCACTGGGCTGTGAGGCTTTGGGCAGGTTACTTCACGCCTTGATGTCGCGCTGCACTGACACTTTCTCTGATCTTTCAGCTCCTGGAGGAGAATGACCAGCTGATTCGCTGTATTGTGGAGTATCAGAACAAAGGCCGGGCGAATGAGTGCGTCCAGTAAGTCCCCAACTCCCTCTCCTGACTTGGGGGGGGGGTGG